CTTGGCCAGTTCAAAAGGCCTCCGATAAAAGGCAAACACACTAATTTACACATTTAGATATTGTTCGGGAGGGAGCGCAATTGGTGGAATTGATTAGATTTGGATAAAAGGCGGCTGGTGAACCATTATATAGATTAAATTGGTTAATGATCGGCGACTTTATGACGCCGATTAAAAATATGAAAATGTGGTTCGATTTAAAGGAAGGTGTTTGTTGGGTTGGCAGGGGGGAAGGAAAATGAGGGGTTTTCAGATGCAAGACTGATAAGTGGATTAGGTGATCACGGTAGCCAGACGGCGATCGCCAATAAATCGCTGGTAATTTGAATCGATTGGAGGGCGGGGCAGGTACTCAAAGGGGAGCTACAGCAAGTAGCTTATTTTCCCGCAATCCGCTTTGCGCTGCAAATTCAAACTATTCCCCTGTAAGATGTCCACACACCGGGCATTTCCTCTCGCCATTAGCCAGTTACCATTTACCATTTGCCATTTACCAGTTGACCAAAGTGGCCAAAGGGGAAGAGGAAGGCAGATCACCACTTCCTGGGCACCAAGCTGCGCGATCGTCGTCGCTGTTAATGTGTGACTTTTGCTGTGTTTTTCAACGACATTAATTTTGTGTGTTGGATCTTAAGCCGGATTTAGTTAAGCAGCTCAGCGATCGTCGGGCATTGAATAGCCTACACCATACACCATATATACCTCTCCGTACCAGACGCTCCAGCCGCTCCAGCTTCGGACACATTTTGTTGGGACCGCTTAGGAAATATAATCCCTTTTGTCGATGCCAGGCATGATCGCCGCTTACTCACTGTGCCGGCGATCACCTGTTTGGTATCGATATGTGTTATGCCCGGTCTCGCGCTCTTTATAATGTGTCGCACATTAGTTAGCAGTTAATACTTTAAATAAGACGAGGTTACCGACATTTTGTTGACTCGACTCTGTAACTCTGGACTTGAAGAAATATGCTGGAAGCCGATTGTCGCTGTGACTTGTAGAAATCAAGCGGCTGCTGTGGCGGCTTATGATTTTCAACGGGGCGTATTAGTGATAAATAATAAATCTTCAAAACCGAAAATACCTTCGTGTAAGCCCCACAATGTCATCGTGATCAGAAGCATCAAAGTTTATAATCAGAGAAACGCCCCAATAGACAAGCATGCTATATATATATATATGAAAGGCATGGCATATATACGAATCTCCCCAGATATTCATTTCATACCCACTTGTCTCCAACCCACTTGTCATAATTTTCAAAACATTCGAAAATTTATGTTCGCCGGAGGAGTGGAGGAGCGGCGGAATACGGATTTGGCTGGCCCATATAAAAATAGTTGCGGAGGGGCTGAAATTCAGGCAGTCTCGTATATCTACGGGGAACAAGCTAAATCCACTAATTAAGAATGAAAAAGGTGACAATGGGGGAGGCACGGCAACGAAAAGCAAGGCAACATTCGGAGATGACTTTCGAAATGCGTAAATTGTATAAAATTCGATTCTTTTCTCGTGTTTTGTCACAGTCTGTGCATTCCGATTAAGCTGAATGACAAATGCCCAAAACAAATACCTAAAGACATCGAATCCACAATCATTCCTCCTTCGCCTCCACAGGCGAAATTAATTACCCAAAAGTTGTCATTATCATTCGAACTTTTCCGTTTTTTCGGCTTGTATTTTTATCAGCTTTCGGTTCGCCTTAAGCTACAAAGCCTGAACCGCTTTTATCGCAATGTCTTACAAATCGTTTTATCAAGGTGTCATTAGCTGCGAAACAATAACAACAACAGCAACAGCAACACCCCAGTCGAAAGGTGTTCTATGATAAGTGCAGAAAGGAAAACCTCGACAAGTCGAACACGTTTTGTTGATTATCTGAGGAGCTGCAAAGAGGCAAAGAGCTGGCTAGCGGCGCCTTTGAAAGTGATTTCGATTCCGAGTGGGGGAATAGAAATACCAAAACCCGAAACATGAACACACAGAAAAACCGATCACGAAATAGTGGGGAATTGATTTAAGGCCGCTCTGCAAGTGCCAAAATACTAATAATGAAGAAATGGAAGACTCTGCAGGCTGACAAGCTGACAACGTGTAATTAACTTAAAGCGTTTTTCGGTGTTTGATATTCTTGCCACTTACCGCCAACTAAGTACAATCAGCATTTAGTTTGATTGAAACGAAGCTCGCAGAATGAACAACAGACAGAAATCTGGAACTCAAACCTGAGTCGCAATCTGAATCTCTGAGGCCAAGTCCGCCGACTTATGATAATAATCATTATAAATTATTATAATCCAATCGGCTTTGAATAATTAATAAATACGTTTACACACACAGAGGCGGTGTATCGCTTGTATGCGAACTCAGCGAAGGCGCATAATCGGGCCGTAAAAGCCCCCACCACGCCCCCCTCCCTCCTCCTCAATCCCCAAGCCGCTCGACTGACACATCGCGGAGCGGAGTGAGAAAGCGTCGAATGAAATGCTAAAAATGTGTTACAATCAAGTAGCAGCAGCGCATAAAGCGGCTAAAGAGATCAGGCAAAGAAGCAGGGGGACATGCCTAAGCTCTGATAAATACGGACTACGGACTACGGACTACGGACTACGGACTACGGACTACCCGAAGAATTGAAAGAGGTGCTAGACCCAAGGAAGAAAAGAAAGCCAGAAGCCAGAAGTCAGGAGCAGCATTCGAAGGAAACACAGTCACAAAGATGACAAACAGTTTGGACATTTATGAGCAGCATTTAATGGACATTTGACTACCGGAATTTAACGAAACCGAAAACGTGGGAAGGGGCCCTCAATAAGAAACGAAAGAAGAATGCATTTGATTGGAACCCAGATTCGATGCGCGGCCAGATTAACCCCGATTATCATTAGTCTTGGTCGCAGATCGCTGGGGAAAACGAGGAGTCAGAGGAAATGACTATTCGATGATGATCACGGCGGTGAGCAGGAAGCAGCGGCGAAGAAGATTTCAATTAATAAATATTCCATTATCTGACTCCTAAGGCCTCCGCCCGGCTCCTCGCCCCTCCTAACACTTTCAGATTAGACAAAATCGAACCATTTATAATTTATAAGACGGCCTATCTGATCGCAAGCGAATGAGGGCTAGGTGATCTAACCGGGTGTGAAGAGACTCGCTGGGCATTATCTATTCCCCCAGTTCGATTCCGATATTTTTCCCTAAGAAAAACCCAAAAAAAAATTATCACAACAATAAAACTAAATGCTTTATAATTAGTTTGCAAGCCCAAAAAGTCACTCGCACTCTCGCCAAACCAAACAGTTCCTATTGAATATGATTTGTTAGAGTTTTGAAAGAATTCCCATTTATTTATACCCATTCTGGCCATACTGGTTTATCATCTGGCCCAGTCAGCGGAGAACTTACGCCGTCTTATCTTAATCCCATTCACTAAGCATATGCGTCGACACATAAAACTGTCAAAACTAAAGAAACAACACCAAAAGTTGATAAAACTAAACGCGTAAGACCGAATTTTCAAATACTCTGGCTATGGGATATATCGACTAAATTGGGAATAGACGGAAATAATATGTGGACAAATTATTTATAACAAAATTCTTGAGCATTGAGTTTTATCGAGAACGTAATCTTATGTACGCATGTACATTCTTCAACCCGAATCCCAATTGAGCCCATTCCCAGAGGGTCTAGATTTCAGCTCCATTAATTCAAGGTTATATAAAGTAATCTCAATCTTCCTCTGGGAGGACGTAAATTGGTGATTAGAAGGCAACTTTTCCCAGTGGCAAGGGTATACGAAGTAACTGGCAATCCGGCGGCTGGTTTTTCAAGAGCTTTGCGATTTGGCCAGCACAATAATTCTTGGGCCGTGATTTCAGGCAAAAGACAATAACGGTGGGTTGGTTCCCGTTTACCCTCCCCAAGATTGGGATTTGTTTAATATACAACACAAACTTTTTCGAAATCGAATGGAAATAAAATCCATAAATTCTTGGATTAGTCACCCCCCTCCCACCGTTTTCGGCGTTTGGGTAACCGATATCGAAGCGCTATCAATGGGTTGAGCAGCCGCGGCAGAAGTCAGACCACAGAGCCAGATAAATAATAATTACACTCACACAACATAATCAATTATGTCTGCTAATAAACGCTGTCCGCCCGGGGAACTCAGCTCACACACTGCCAGATATCTGGACATGTGTATGAGTGATCCCCCACACCCTTCCAGATCGACTTGGTTCGGTTCGGTTCGGTTTGGGGGGAGTTGGACTAATCACGCCAGCATGTTCATAATCAATTTTATCGCACTTATTTGGATTAATTGCGATATCAGTGACAGGGGCGCTCGAGTCCGATAAAAAGCGGTGCACAACGATGACGCGATGGCCGAGCCCAGAAACATTCTCTATGGGCAGGGTAGGAATATTACCTCTTTCCAGTGACATCCATACATTCATCCATCCATCCATCTATCCCCACACGTAAGTCCCATCGATATCTAAGTTCGTCATCGCCTTATGCCGAAATTACCAGCATTTGACAAAGTTACCGACGGGATTATCTTATCTGGCTGGCGCAAAAGCTCTCGGAGAACTCGTAACCCAGAACTCACCCACTTGGGGATCGGCTTTACAATGCAATTAGTGGCCAAACAAAGCGGGGAAAATAAACAGTGGGGGAGGGGGAGTGCCCAGCAGTGGGCTTATCGCAGCACCGATCTCGAAAATCTCAGCCGATAAGGATTATCTTAATCTGCATAAATAGCGAAACGGGCGCATATCTACACGGACGTTATCACTTTAGCTTGGCCATATGTCGCAGGGCCGATTTTGTTTGTTTTTGAACTGATTCATTTGGTGGCGGGAGCGGGAAAAGTTGATGAACATCTGACTAATGGCTGTAAAGTGCCGGCGGCAAAGCGATCTCGCAATGATGAAATCTGGGGGAGGGAGGGGTGGGGATCCCTGATCCCCGAACATTTCAGGGTCAAAACTCACCTGCTGACCGGCATTGGCTGCCACCCAGGCCTCCGCGAAGGTCTCCATGGCGCTCTGGAAGTCCATCTCGCTGGCGATTCAAAGTTCTAATCACTGACGCTACAGTTCACGTATTTCTTTTATGCAGCCAGATGCAGGCGCTTTGGCATTAATTGCAATTTGGATGGTTCGCTGTGATTTGTTTGATTGCAATTTGTGACCGCGATAATGGGGTTGCTCGATTACAAATTCGATTACTGGGGCGGCCGGTTATATTTCTTGATTTGATTTTCTATATTTTGTTGCTGTTGTTGTTGTTGTTATTACGATTTAGTGGCGCGGATACGCAAATTAGACACAGGCACACACACACGCGTAACCGCACACACGCTCAGGTGAAACGCGCGTCTCCTTGTGGAACGGATTCGATGACGCTAGTGGAAGCTGCAGTTGCTGTTGTTGTTGTGGGCGACGCGACATCATTAGTGCCATGAAATCGGGAGCTGATCGCGTCGCTGCTGCGTCACCAGGATTGGCAGCGTATCGAATGTGGCAGTTGCAGATCGCAAGTGGCACGTAGAACGTAGCAAGTAGCAAGTAGCAAATCGCAAATCCAACCAAGCGTTGGGTAATGGATATGGCCGAGTCCTTTGGCTCTGCACTGATGACTGATCTGGACTCTCTTCGCAAGTGTGTTGGTGAGCGGACGCGCGTCAAGACATCCTCTCTTGGCCAAAGTTGTCGCACTTCTGACGGCATTGGCATTCTTTCGCCTTCGCACGTTCTGCCGCCGCCACCGACGCTGCCGGCGGCGCAGTCCATGTTGCCGGTGCCGGTACTCGGTCTCTTTCGGCCCGCTGTCGTCGGTCTTCGGTCTCGTTCTCGCCCCCGGCCGCGCTCCTCCCCAGCCCACCCCCACCCCCTTTTGGACCGCGTCGCTCTCTCACGCGGCTCCATTTGCCGCCTGTCCGTGTGCATTGGTGTAAGTCAGAGAGCCCGGAGAGCCGGCTTACTCTCATGTTTTCTTGCAGAGAGAGAGCTCACGAAATAGTAGTAGACCGGGCACTGAAAAGGTAGTAGAACCATATCTCAATTGTATATCGAAAGTATTGCTATGGCCATAAATAAAAGGAAATATGCCAACAAAATTGAACTGAATTCACAGATCAAAAAACTACGATGCTATCTCAATGTGATATATAAAGTATTGCTTTGGCCAAATATAGTTGAACAATCAGAAGAAAAAGCTGGAGCTCTCGACATAATAATGCATAGAATCAATAACTGATGAGATCAAAAGATGACTCCCGATTGAAACATTTTTCTTGTCCTACAGGATAACCTAATTGCGTACAAGCTTACAAGTATCCTTGTCCGCGACTTCGGCAAGCAAATTAACTTTTTTCATAGAAGTTCTATGAGAAAATCAGATTATTTACTGATTTGTTTGCAAATCAATTTTTTTATAACAACCAAAAATGGATGCGACAATAATCACTAATGAATGACTTAAATATAAATGCTAAGCGTCGAAATTGATTTTTTTTTCTGAAAACTTCTTGGAACATATGGAGATTTTACAATTTTATTGATGTTAAAATTCCTGAACGCTTGTTGATGCCAAAAAATTTAAGTGGGATGGATAGAATGGTTTATATAGAACATCACGCAAAATCTTGCTTTTCTATTCTTAATTCTTTAAATTATAAATGGCCATGGTATTTTAAAAGACAATGGTTCTATTTCGATTCTTACCCCATCCAAATATATAAATATTGTTAAAATAATTATTCCTTTTATCGACGAAAGTTGTCTTTAAAAACCCTGAAATAGCCCCACTCCCCATTACTTTAATAAGTTAAAGGTATTACAATATATATTTTATTCATACATTTTATTTTTTTTTTAGGATAAGGAATAAATTTCAAGTTTCTTAAATGTTAAGCCAGGATGAACGAAAATTATTATTTTTAAGATTTTGTTATCAGTAAACCTTTTTATATTTTTGTTTTTAGCATTGACAGACAACCTTAAAGTATGAACTCGAAATCTGTAGGGTCGGACATATTACTTGAAAATGTTGTCAAATGAATGGTAACTATTTTTTCAAGAAAGCTGGCGATTTGGAAATATTTGAGTTATGGAGTATTTATTGTAATCCCATGTTTGCTAACAAAATTAAACACTTAATTCATTATTTGTTATTACCTAGCGAATAATGATGTTTTTTTTTTTTTTTTGTGATTAGCTTAAAAATAAAATTATTAAAAATAGATTTAATAAAAATGATAACTGTAGGTACTTGTCAGAATCCAACTACATCGAAAAGGTCTTTCAAAACGTAGTAGAAATACTGCCAAATTCCATTCTCGTTAGTGAGGCAAACAAGCAGCTATGCATGTGTGGGTTGGTGAGTAACCAAAACAAAGCACACGCACAGGGGCAGAGTAAGGAAAGAGAGTAGCGTTTGGAGAACGCCAGAGAGCGTCTCTCCCGGACACACACACAGACACACTTGTGAGTAAACAGTGGGTAAACCTGTTCCGGCGCAGAATTGCACTTGTCGTCGCCACAACCTTCGCCCCACCCCCTGCCATCACCTCACCTCACCACACCACACCCCCCTCCACCCAACAAATTCCTGTTCGGCTGCGCGTTTTCTTTTATTTTTTGTGCGCTGTGGCGAAACTCAATGGATTTGCTGCAAATTCGGGTGGAATTATGCCACACACACATACATACCCCCCTACACCATGTAGAGTGGGCGTGGGCGTCAGCCAAGCCAGTGCGAGTGCGAGCAGTGCGGCAATAGGTTCGGTTCGGGTATTCGGGATGAAAGAGTAAAGTAAATCGGCCGTGCTTATTCCTCTCGGTGGGTGGTGGTGGGAATTTTAGGGGGTTACACCCACTCGGCGTTTAGCACCTCCGTCGACTGTGAATGGCGACGGCCTTCGTTTCTGGACTCGTGAGTTCCAGGCACGAAGTGGATTTCGCCGGAGGGCGGGGTTGGGTGGTTCCCCCGGAAAACAAGAGATAAGAGCGCAGATAATGCGCGCGCATTACATGTGATTAGGTGTCCGGGCTGCAGGATTTAGCCAACCGCGTCCAAGTAAATGGTACATAGGCTTTCTATGTACAGTAGCCGTAGGGAGCCACTCTTCCAAAAATATATCGAATCGGGGTGGAGTTACAGTGGGTTTAGTAATTAGTTAAGGATCATATATCCGTTTTTTACAAAAATATAATTGAAACTGAGTTTACCCCGTAATAAACGCTTAAAAAATTACAACTTTTAAATAGTTTTAAAAATGCCTAAATATAGCAAAAACTGAAAACCGTTTTCCTTAAGAAAAAATTCAAATTTGAATCTGGATATCTTTATCCCGCGATTCGTTTTTCCCCACTTCCTCAATGCGCAAGCTCTCCCTTTCTCACTCTACAGCGCGCTCTCTCTCTCTCTCGCTCGGCAGGTTTCTCACTCACACAAACACACACGAGGGTCGTTCCCTCTCTGTCGCTCCAATGGCCTCGTGCCAGAGCGAGATAACCCATCGAAAAAATTAGAGCAAAGAGAGATGAGCAAGGCGAAAAACGCCAAAGAATACGAGATACGAAAAAAGAGGAAAAACACGAAATAAACATAAAAAGTGCCGGCAAACCAGTTCGGGATAGACTCCGCCCCCGCCGCTCGCTGATTGGCTAAGCAACCGCTTTACCCGGAGACTTCATCTTGTTCTTTTTGCTGTTCATATATTCTTTTTCCACTGCGGTTTTATCGTCCCCCCTCGTCACTCTCATCTATTCTTCACTTCTTTCCATTCTCGACGTCGACGTTACTTGCGGAGCTTTACCAAATTTTGGGGCTCAAAATCTTTTGCTGCTCTTAGCATTTTAGATGAAGCCCCCCCGACCCAAACACTCACTCACTGAGTGAACATCCTTTAATGTGCCTCGCAGAACCATTTCTATGTGGCATGTAATTTTAGATCCCCAATCGAGAAACTTAATTAATTTCTCAGCACAAGCAGAGTTAATAACCCAACTACAAAGTAGAAATTGAGCGAGGGCTTCGGTTAAAGGATTGTGTTAGTTTTTATGATATATTTGACATATTTGTCATTGATTTTTTCTTATTTATTAATAAGTAGATATAATTGATACAAAAAATATTTTTATTTCTTTTTTTATTTATGTATTGGTCTTACTACTATTTAATATAATTTTGGTTACAACAAAATGTTTTTTTAGCATGTACTTACATGTATTTAAAGTTACGCCAAATGTAATTATTTTTGTAATGAATTGATATTTGAATTCAATTTAAAATGAATTAAAATATCAATACAAAATCAGGAAACAACGCTGCACTCCAGTATTAAGATTTCTTAGATTTTAATGTGGAGTGGACGGCATTCCTGAATTCCATTCCATTTTTGGAAAAATAACATTTTCGGGGCACCGAATATGTATAGGAAATTAAGCATCCTGGGCAGTAGGTTTTCAAGCAGAATAGTTTTTACAAAACCATCAATTCTTTAAAGAAATTTGAACAAGGATTCTTAACGTTTAATGAAACACATATTATTAAATTAGAGTTCATCTATATCTTTGCATGACGTAAAAATGGATGCAAAGCTTTTAGAAAACCATTGAAAGTCAGTTTCAAAAACATTGTAAGTCCTACTAATCTAAAAATCTTTTTTTGATATGTACTTCCAAAAAAATCTTTCTTGGAAAGTATGATATTGACGATGTCTTTCAAAACGTTTTGAGTAGGAAAACTCATAAAATAACCCCTCTTGAATGCACACATTCGAATTTCCGGTTCGATGACATCTTTTGGACCACCAAAAGCGTTGCAAATTTTGCGCTTGCCAAAAATAAACCCATGTGTCTGGCTGGCCTCCCATACTTCAAACGTAAATTATATTTACTGTTAGCCAACTCATCATCGACCCTCTGTTCCAAAACCCCACCCTCCTGGCCGTCTATATTGTGCGGAAAAGTATTTAAATAAGCAAGAACGCGACATCATCAGGCTAAAAAATACCTACACATGCTGTGCGAGTGTTTTTAAGGTGTGGACGGAGCCTGATGTCTCCTCGCGGTACACGAAAAATCAATAATTTTATTAAAGCTCCAGTTTCGGCGTTTGGAGTGCGCCTGAGTTCAGTTTGAACTTTTGATTTTGTAAGCTCCGTTTAAACACTATGCAAAAATTGGTATGAAATGTTATTCAATAGAATTTGATGGTCCTTAGATCTTATTTTAGGCGATAAAGAAGAGATAACACCATTAAAATACACAGAATATAAATAATTAGGAAAAAAGTTAACAAGTACTCTTTCTGAAAGCTAGTTGGGTTTTCTAGATTTAAAGCTTTATAGACCAATTAAAATTCCCTTGCAACTATTACAAAAATATTTTTCGCACAATCTTTTCATCGCTCTTATGGCAGCTTTATTTTCATCGTCGTCTGATCTTAAGGGGGTTATATACATTTATGATTTTCAAAAAGTCAATTTTTTGTATTTTGTTTTTTTAATGTACATATATGCACTCAGAAAATTTCATATCGTTCCGGTAATCATTTTCAAAGTTACACGCAAAGTCGTTTCAAAGTACAGGTATAATCTTTAAAAGCGTTTTTATCAAATAATTCCTAGAACTAATTACTAGATTTGACAACACTTTAACGAAATCTTTTTAATTTTTTAAACTTCAGAGGATCCAGTC